CACGATCCAACAAATAAAAGAGGTATAACCCTCACAAAAGTCTGCCGACATTCAGTGGTTTGGATTCATTTGTTCTCCACTTGGTACACGACCAAGGAAAGAAATAAAACTTTAGGGTTGTACCAGTTGCAGATTTGATTTGATCAACCCAGATTCAATCCTCTGTTCCGCCCAGATTCAGCAACTTGAAGAGAAAACTTGGTCGCCCAGATTCAACAGCCTTGCTTTGATACCATCTTGGCAATAAATCTGATTGAAATATGAGGAAGTAGAGAAGAGAAGGGAAGAAGAGAGAAGAGAAGAAAGAAAGGAAGAAAAGGTTCAGAGCAATGGAACAGTACTGGCGGCGCCAGCTTCTATTATATTATATAGGGTGGCAGAAATAAGAGGGGTAAAGACTCTTGTGCCCCTTCTGTAACTGAGTACAATAACAGAAAATAAAAAAAAAGCTTTAACTAGCCAAACAGACCCTAACACAAATAACTAAATTATTTCAACAGAGAGAAGAGAGAAGAGAGAAGAGAGAAGAGAGAAGAGAGAAGAGAGAAGAGAGAAGCTGCCAATCTGTTTAGAGAAGGATTAAACTGTCTTAATCCTGTCTAAGCAGTCGGCCCGGCTTTATATTAATAATAAAAGAATGCTGAATTACAAATACACCCCTGTTTATGATAAATAGTGGACTGGAGTGTCCATAAAATAACATAAAAAGACTTCTCTATCCTGCCACGCAATACACCCAGAAAGACTTTTCTTTCTTAACACCCAACAAACAAATCAGAGATACAACTCACTCGTTATGGTGATTGCACATAACGAGTGCCATCACAAACAGCCCAACCCGTAGAGCAACTGCTTTAATCAGTAGAAGCATAGACCCTGATCACATGAATCCCCAACCCGTAGAGTGCCATCACAGCACATCAAAAAAATTTGAAGCAACTGCTTTAATTAATAGAAGCATAGACCCTGATCACATGAATGCCCAACCCATAGAGTGCCATCACAAACAGCCCCCAACAAAGAAGAGGTCGTGAGTCGTGGCAAGAGATGTAGGCTATACCATTGTTGTGTGATCATTCATATATTGTGCCCTTAGGAGGCAGCCCTTGGGATAGTAGGTTTTGGAACCCTATTGTTGAGAAGTGTGCTAAGAGGCTGACTGCCTGGAGAAGGAACTATTTTTCTTTGGGAAATAGAATAGTTCTAATAAAATTTACTCCCTCTGTCTTTAGAATGCCCCAAAAGGAAGTACTGAAGGTTGAAAAGATCATGAGAGATTGGAACCAAGAGAAGATAGAAGGGATCACTTGGTCAATTGGGGAATTGTTTGTAAAACGAAAGAACAAGGGCTGCTAGGTATAGGCAACTTAGGAAAGAAGAACTTAGCTTTGTTGGGCAAGTGGTTGTGGAGGTGGTCTCTAAAAAGGGAGAGATTGTGGCATCAGGTAATAGAGAGAATACATGGACAGACTTGCAATGGTTGGGATGCAGAGTGTCGGTTCGGACAACTTCGGCCTCACCTTGGAAACCTATTCATTGAATCCTTCCTCAGTTCTGAAGTCACATTAGGTATGATGCTTGTACTGGAGACAAATTTCTTTTCTAGGAGGATGTTTTGGTTGGTTCTTCCTCCTTAAGGTATCTCTTTCCCACATTGTATTCTGTTTCCCTTCTTAAAAAGGAGCTTGGTTGGGTATAAGTTGGGACCTGAGATTCAGGAGAGGGTTGAGAGATCACAAATTGAATTTGATTTCTTCCCTTTTTTTGAAGACAAATAATGAAAAGACTTTATTGCTAAAAATAAAAGATAACTACAACTTAAATATGGTGATAAGAGGTCACCCCCATCACGCTGCAACAATACAAGAGAAAACAAAACAAAACAGACTTCAAAGAAAACAAGGAAATACACTAGGACTTCTTAAGAATTCAGAGAACACCGAAAATCATCCCTGAAGTCTTTTTTCTATAAACCTTGAAATTCTGGCAGTATCAGCTCCGAAGTCTTCTTTCCTTCCACCACCTGATGTCTGCAACTGGCGGATTAATTTCTAATGATTGTAGTTTTGACAGCAGATCCAAACATTCCTCCATCTCTCAATAGAGAAAAGGCCCTCTAAAGTTTGGAGTCCAAACCACAGATCCATTAATTATTTCATAACATTCAGAAATAGGCACTCCCTTCCGACCCAAACTGTATAGCATTGGACATATCTCACAAAATTTCTCAGTTCCCGACCAATCATCCTCCCACAACCTAATGCTAGACACACTCCCCACGTTCCAAGAATATTGAGGAACCACCAGAGAGTTGAAACTCATTATCCCTTTCCATACACAAACTCCATAAGAGTGTCTCACTTCCTTTGAAACCCACCCAAAATTCACCACTTCATACTTACATGCCACCACTCTTCTCCAAAGTGCTTCCCTCTCTCTTCCAAACCTCTACACCCACTTCCCCAACAAAGCTTTGTTGACAACCTCCACCCTCCTCACCCCAAGACCCTAATGCAGGAGCTAAAGAATCAAATTTAGAATTTTCTTAAAATTTCTGTATTTTTGTATATTTGGACAGTATGGGTGTCTTTATCATTTTAACTAGTCTAGTGTGGGGCCTAGGCTATAACATCTTGTTCATCTAGTTGAGTAGGGCTTATCTTTCAATTTTCAGTTTATTTGCATTAGTAGATAGAAAGTTATTGTGTTTCTTGATGCACAAGACAAAGAGTGGCATATTTTGTAATTTTGGTGAACAGTGTTCCGGGCCACACAAGTCGCTTTATAAATAGATGTATTTTCTTCCTTTTGAGGGTAATGAATGAATGAAGATTTCTTAAGAGCTCTCTTGTTGTATGGAGTGGCTTCTACAAACCCTAGAGAGATTCTAGGATCCCTTGGAGTGATTCCTTGGGATTTCTCTCTCTTTTCTCTCTCTACCATTTCTACTCTCTCTTCCTCTCTCTTTCTGTCTTGTGTTAGTTTGTTCCAGCCCTACTGCATCAGACCCCCTCCATTTTAGACTTACACACCACCTCCCACTTGACCAATCGAATTTTCTTTTTTTCTTTTTTTTTTCAGCCCTCACATTCCACAGAAAGTCCCGTTGAAATCTTTCAATCTCCCCATCACAGCCGTTGGAGCCTTAGTAGTCGTAATGGCTTCTTTTCTTGTGCCTCTTTTCCTCTTTGCCCTCCTCTCCCATCAACCTTTCCCTTGGAAAGAAATTTGGTGTAAATCTTTCCCTCTTAAGTTTTAGGCCTTTTGTAGTGTATCATGGGGAGATGAATACATTGGACTTATTGCAAAAAATAAGCTCCTCTCAGTGTTTGTCCCCTAATTGGTGTACCCGCTGCAAAGTCAGTTGTAAGAGTTGTTACCGCATTCTATCCTGTCCTTTTTCTGCAAGCATTTGGGAAAGGCTTTGTTATCTAGTTATGGGTGGAACCTGCTTTTGCAGATAAGTAATTTATTCAGTCCTGCTACCTTTGTATGGCCCAAGAAGAGAGGAAGGATTCTCTGGAGATGTGCTAGAGCTGCAGTGATATGGACAATTTGGGTGGTGAGGAATGCAAGATTCACTAAAAAGGAAAGGGATGAGGCAACAGTAATAGGTTGAATTATGCATAGGGTTATACAGAGGCTAAAACTATTGACATCCTTTTCCCTTTCATATGGAGGTATTGGAAAGAAGTGGCTAAAAGTTTAAGATACAAGGTCAAAGCTCATTCAGATTAGAGACCAGCAGAGGGTTTCATGAAACTGAATTTTGATGGGAGTTGCCGAGGAACCCAGGACCATCAGGTATCGGGGGAGTATTCTGAGATAAGGATGGACTTATTACTGCCTTATATTCAGGGCCAGCAGGGATTGGTGATTTCATTATTGCAGAATTCCAAGCTGTGCTACAAGGTGTACAGATTGCTAAAAATCTGTACAGAATTCCATTAATTATTGCAGGGGATTCTAAAGTAGTGGTGGGATGGTTGAAGAACCCCAGAACAGCTTTGTGGATGCTTGGAGAGGCTCTCAAGAGATTTTAAATGGTGGACTTCTATACGGGTAGCTGATGGCTTAGTTAAGCAAGGGGTGAATAGGAACCAGCTCTTGTGGGTTTGGTTGTAATTTATGTTTGAGGTGGATGCAGCATCTCACACCTCTTGATGGGATGTATTTTTGATGTACTTCTTCTACCTTTTTTATTTAATAAAGTATCTTTTATTGATAAAAAACAATAAAAAACCTCAACCATATTGCAACTTTCCAAAACCCTGGCATAGGCAACCTCAAATTTTCACTTATCTGAAAATCACTGATTGGTCTCCTTTAATATCACAATTTTTTTTCTTGGATTATGGAAGAGATATGGCTAGTCTTCTTTAAATGGCCTTTGTTTTATTGAAGTTTCTTGCATGATTTTTCATATAAGAAATTGCTGAATGAATGACTGATAGAAGGCACATCTATTGTTTAGATCTTCTATTGATAGTATAAGATCTTTACTTTTGTTGCCTAACATAATTTGAAGTTATCGCTTAACCTAAATAAGCATACTTGGAGACCAATTTCTTTAGCTCTACATAGTTTATTCTACTGTATGTGATAGCAGTAGCATTATTTCACGCTTTATTTTATCTTGTGGCCCAGAGGGACATTTTTATAATTGCAATCTGTTGCTTCTTTTTAATATAAGACTATTCTTGGGCATAACTTTTCTAGACATCCCTTAGATCCTTCTTTAGTTTCTCTATTTTGTTTTCCTATTTGAAGTTGAACCATATTGGAGTTATGGTTGTGAAAGTTAACAGTGATGGTGCATTATTTCTTAAGGAAGCAATCATTGATCAAGCATGATTTAACTTTTCTGCTTTCTTAGTTTATTCCCTTTTAAGTTCATATCCACATTACTTCTATTCTGACCTTATGGTTTCAACACCAATATAGATTGAATATCTTTTATACAAAATTTCTTCTTTTAAAGAATTCTACTTTTTTTCTAGGTGATTATTCCATTTGAAGATATAGATGAGGTATGTAGCTTCAATTCTTCTTCTGTTTGGCCTTTCCATTGGTCTTTAGGTTAAATGATACAAACTTCTAAGTATGAATGCATAAATGCTTAAATGCTCAAACATCATTATTGATGGCACAGATGAAGAGGAGTCAACATGCATTTATTAATCCTGCTATTACAATTATTCTCCGTATGGGTGCTGGTGGACATGGTGTGCCTCCATTGGGAAGTCCAGATGGTTAGTAATTAATAGAAGTAGATTCCTTTTAAGTTTTCTTTTTATTTTGTTAGAGCTTGGTTTCCAGCTTGTTTTTTTTTTTCATGGGGTTTGAAATATCCATATCTTCTGCCTTAGTAGCATTTGGCATCTTTGTACATGCCTTATGTACTCTTGTTGTATGGACTTAATTGTTAGTATGAGCTTTCCTAAAATAAACCTTGATGCCAAAAAGTGTAACTTAAAGCTAATATTGGTGACCCTATGCTAACATGCGTTTTCTTATAGCTTTTAATTCAAGATAGGATCTCATAGTTCAATTTCAGTTGGTTTATTAAAGGTTTTATCAGGGTGATCAGAGTGAAACCTTAGAATATGTTAGACATTGTTGTTCTTTGTTCTCTTAATTGTAAAGACTGGTTTTCTTCTGAATTTAGTAGTGAAACTGCTAAATTGGGACTTGGTGAATAGAAGAAGAAAACTATGTGTAAGGGGAAACGATGGCCTGAAACCCTAGCCACCTGCACCTGTCTTTGTGATCATGGCTTCTCAAGATGGTGATCCACCCTCTAAACCTACAATCCTCTCTAAGCTTTCTCCTCAATGAGCCCCATCGATCTCTGTTTTTGTGATTCCTCTGAACCTTTGCAATGCCGAACTATTGATTTACTTTCCTAAAGAGGTTTTACAATGTTCTTTTGAGGCTTTTCAAATTGCCCTAGTTGGCAAATGCATGTGTGCACAGCTTTCATTACCTAAGATAAAAGATTTCATTGTTAGGTCTTTTAATCTGTTGAATGATGTTTGGTTTACAACCTTGGATTGCAAACATATCTTGATCCGATTCTTGAGAGAGGCTGATTATCTCAAAGTATGGTTGCACGAAGCCTTCAAGGTCAGGTTGTTTCTATTCAATATGTTCAAATGCGTGCCAGATTTCGGACTAGGCTGGCAACCGTTCCTAGTCTAGATCAATTTTCCCTTTCTACCAGTCAACTACTATTTGGGGGTTTCTTGCGATTAATCGCCAATGCAGTGGGTCCTATTGCTAAAAATGGATCCAGCAACCCTCTTGTTATCATCAACCAATATGGCGAGTGGTGAGGACCACAAAGAAGAACCGAAGAGAAAAAAGTAGGATCCCAAATAGTTGTTTTTGGATAGTTTTGTATCAGTTTGAGTCAGAGAGCATTTTTGTCATTTTAGCATTTAGATTCCGGTGAGGTGCAGTTGGGTTTTGATCTCTTGGGTGTTTTTGTAACAAAAGTTTTTCTTTTGGGGGTTGGTTGAAGTTACTTTTGTTCTCAAGGACTTTCCGATTTTGGACATCCAAGGGGATTATGTGTAAATATTTTTGTTGGCTTTGGGGGCTGTTTTTGTGGAGGTCTTTTCATTCTCTCTCTTTAATTTGAGTTGTATCTCAGCCCTAGCTAGGGTTTTTGATAACTGGGAACTTGGGTTTTGAGTCAACCCATTAGGCACTTTTCAATCCCTCTATCACTGCATGTTCATGCGAGAGGCCATCTTGACGCCATCATTACTATATAATAATAGTTCTAGGAGTTCTACATTAGGTTCAATTTTGAAATCTATAAAAATCCAGTTTTGTTGTTTCCAGCATTGTATTGCTGTTCATTTAAAGTATTGCATATATCTTTCTTATTTGACCACAAGGTATCAAAGCTAGTTTCTTTCCTTGGGTTTGCTTTAAAGTTCACCTTCTTGCTGTTTCTTGTGTATATTGTTATAGTTGAAAAGGGTGCATGTGGTAGAAGACCACAACATATGTCACTATAGAGGTATTCCAAGAAGCTATAAGCAGGCTGTAGGAACAGATTGAATATCTTGCTCAACTTGTAGCCCACAATACTGCTAGAGATGGTGATGTAGGAAGTGATTTGTGGTTTGGAAGTAGAAGGTAAGCTCTTACTGTTGATGAACAGCCAACTAACATTGTTAATGAAGAATCAAGTGAAGAAGATATTGGCAACCTGAAGGTAAAGTATTAGTAATTAGACACTCAATGATTGCACCTTAAGAACAACTACTAGGGGATTGGTTGAGAATGAATAACTTTAGAATACATTGTATAGTTGGTGGGAAGTTGTGTAACTTGATGATTGATAGTGGGAGTAGTGAAAATCTTGTGTCTCAGGAGATGGTGGATAAGTTGTAGCTAAAAACTATTGAACGCCCTCGACCGTATTACATTTTGTGGTTCGACAAAGGAAATGTCTCCTAAGTGCCTTGTTAATTTCTCTATTAGTAATACACTTGAGGAATCTATTTGGTGTGGTGTTGTCCCAATGGATGCATGCCATTTACTCTTGGGATGCCTATGGTAGTATGACCATGAGACTTCATTATTGAGACAAGAATACTTGCAACTTTGTGAAAGACAACAAGAACATAACTCTTAAATCAATGCAGGTTGATTCCATTTTAAAGAAAGAAACTAAGATAACCACTAAACTCTTCACATCAAATAAAGTGGTTGAGGAAGCCAAATAGGACAGCATACTACAGGTCTATAAGGAACTTGAAAACAGTGAAGAAACACTTAAAGAGAGCTTTGATGAACAGAAAATTGTACTAAATGGAGTGGTACAAGACGAACTATTAACAAATAGTAAGGGTGAGAACACAAACGAGGGAATGGTGGAGTGGAATAACAATGACAAGGACCACTCTGCTGCCCTTGTTAAAGAGATCTGTTAGAAAGACAAGATTCAAGCTTCATCTATTATGTATATATCTGAAAATTTGGAAAAGATAGTGTAGAAAGTAACTTTGAGAAGCAGATTTTAAAGGAAGCTGGCATTATTTTTGAAGAATAAAGATAAAATTTATCAAAAGTAAAAGAACAAGGAAAGACCCCATACGAATCCCCATTAATACATAGACCAACAGCCCGTCAACTAACCAGAAAACAAAAACCCCTCCTTGCCGCGGCCATGACTTCAGTCTTCCTCTGTGACCGTGTCATCCTGGATCGAGTCGTCGTTATCCCATACCTTGTCCTCTTTCAGACGAACATTTTTGTTCAATTTCTCTTCCTTTCTTCTCCTTCCAAAATCCTTGAAAGCCCTTCTAGCAAACTCGTCACCACTCCAAAAGAACAGACCCAAGCTTTATTGTAACCTTTCTATCCACTATTTTTTGGAGGGTCACCCCACCTGATTCCCCATCAATACCGTTATTATTTTGTGGCAACTGTCTTGCAGCAGATTCGGAATTAGCACCACTTGAATCATCTAAAGCGATGGGACCACAAGATAACTTCAAGTCTAGTCAGAGGTGGTCTGGACCGGTTTGAGTTCAAGAGATGGAACTGGCTTTAGGGCCTGGTCGGGTTAGCAAAAGCAGGTTAGGTGATTATTTAAATAATCACGTGACTCGAGTGGAAAGGCCTTTAAGTGACCCGACAGGAGACGATTTGCCTCATCTATTAACACAAGGCAGGATGTCTCGAGGTTCTGAGCATGTGGTTTCGTGTGAAGTAGTATTACATGGTCACATGTAGGGGTGTCAATTGGACTGGATTTGGTCCAATTCGGTCCAGTCCAGTGTGAGTCCATTACAAATGGACCTGGTCCAATCCAATCCAATGAATATTTTGGACCATTTTGGACCGGTCCAGAGACTGTTCAATCTGTTCAAATTCCTGTTAATTTAGTTTGGTTTCAACTCAAACCTGGTTCATTGACACCTATGTTCTAACCTTCTATCAATGGACCAGATATTGGCTCAATCCAATATAAATTCATTATGGACGGACCAGGTTCAATCCAATATGTCATATTGGTCCGTCCAGTCCGTCCAAATTCAATATATCTTATTGGTTCGTCCAATCAATCCAACCCAAAACCGGTCCATTGACACCCCTAGTCACATGGGTCTCATTAAGGACTGTGATTCATGTTTATCATCGTCTTCCTCAGTTCAGTATATTCACCTGAAGTTTTCATCTTATCCAATTGGAGTTTTGAATGAAGCTCAAGCTTGCAACTTTGATTTGTTTAATAAATCAGAGCAGGAAGGATAGAGTTAACAAGAGAAAGTGGGATACGGAGTAGAAGTGTCTTGTTTGGAATTAGAAGGAGAAAGGGAGAAAGGTGGATTTGGGTGATTGCCAAGTATGATAAGAGTGGTAAGAAGAGGATTATTGGTGGAACAGGTGTGAACCTTGATGATTGTCCATATTCTTCATCGAATGGCGATACTGGATACTGTTTTCAGGTTGGAAAATGAGCTGAGGTGATTTGCATCTCTGCTGAGCCTGGGGTTATAGATGCAGAATCCCTAGAGATCAGGTATGATTCTGGAAAACCAGCTTCATTGACCTTGGTAGTGGATTTCTCTGTGGATTTAGAGAGGCTGGAAGGGGGGGGGGAGGAGGAAGTTGGGGAAGGGACTATAGGTGACGGCGAAATCATTGGGTGTCAGGAGTGCTACGATGAGGATTATGTTCACTTCAAGGAGGTGAAGGCTAGAAGGTTGGATGTTGACTTGGGCCGAAAGAGCAAGTCTGAAGAAAAGGAAGATGATCAGATTAATGTGGTGTTTAGTAAGAAATTGTGTAGTTCGAGAAATCATATTGTAGTGCACATGACAAAGATCTTCTCTAGGCTAAAACTTGGTCTGGTAGGGGTAGGACCTAGGACCTGCTAAAGACTACAAATGGGTTTATAGGAGGAAAAGAACAAGAGGCAATGATACATCTGGCATTGACCATAGGGGGACAATGGTGCAAGTTCAGTCATGGTCTCCCATTCGGTGAAGGAGCAACAAGAAAACAAAATGGGTGGCATTGACTCTAATCCTGGTGTGAGCAGGACACTGCAAAATAACGATGGTGATGATGGTAGCTTAGGATGTATGACTCTCCAAAAATTAGTGGATAGAGAGGTCACAGAAGAAAAATAGCCTTTTGAGAAGAAAGGACTGTTTAGAAAGATGCAAAAGTTCAAAAGAAAGTAGCAAAAATCAGAGTTCAAGAGGAGAGAAGAAGAAGAAGGTGG